CGGCGGGACCGGTTGCATCAGCCCCGGCTATATAGCGGCCCCTGGGCGGCGGGGAGGGGTCGGGAATGCGGAACCCGCCGAGCTGCCAGCTCCAGACGTCAGAGGGGGACGGAGAGGAAGGGAAGGAGGGGACAGAGGAGGAGGGGGGGTGTGGATCCGGCGCTTCACACCCACTGACCTTCACCTCCCCCGCCGCCTTTCGCGCCCTCCTCCCGCGGCTCCGCGCGCTCCTCTCCCTGCACCCGCGTCCCCGGCCCTGGCGCGCCAGCCCGGGCTCCATCGCGTCCCCCGGCTCTCCCACCCTGCGGCTCAGGAGCGCGCGAGAAAGCAGGACGCGGCGAGCGGTTATGTAAGAGCATCCCCCGCGCAGAGCCACCCGGCGGCCACCCCCACCCCCGAGACAAACCGCGGCTCCGGGCAAGAGAAATGAGAAGGCGGCGGCGGGACAAGTCAAAAGCCCATTGAAGCAAATGTAGCCCTACGTTGAACCATCTTCCTCAGTCCTTAGCGCTTTTTCCCAGAGCGAGAGGATTTCAGCACATTTTCATCCTTGGACACTTCACGACTGAGGAAGTGAGGAAAATGATCTCACAAGTTGGTTTTTATTTTCCTGTGCAGAAGGATGGGCAGAAGATTACGGCATATGGGTGCCTCTACCCCCACCCACTAGCCCACCTGGCCACCACAGGCGCCCTTAAGCCTTGGGGTGGTTCACCGCAAGAGGCCTGCCCTCCTCAGGGGTTGCAGCCTGAGCCCACCACTTTTTCTTTCTGGATGGCTTGCAATTTGACCCCTGGGCTTTTTGTCCCACTCCAGCAGGCTTCTCCTTTCCGCTCATGGACACAGCAGACCCAGCCCTCTGCTCACTCCAAATATCCTTCTTCCCTGTTATGACTTCCATCGCCAACTCTACTCCCACCTTTCATCCTCCTAGAGTGGTGGTAGTAAGGGCGACTCCACGGTGCCCTCCAGTATGTAAAGGCAGAGACACAGAGCCCTCAAGCACACATGTGGCACCTGAGGCCTTGACACCATGGTTGGCATCTCCTACCGCCAGACATCCTGGGGGCTCAGCCAACCCATCCCCTACCTTTCTGCCTAAGCCAGATAGGGGTGACAGTGTTTATATTCAGTGACCTCCAACCTCCTTCTCAGAGTGATATCAGGTCATCACCCATAGAAGAAAGGAAGTGAAACAAAAAGTTCATGCCTTCTTGGAGTGCAGATGCTCAGAGTGAAAGAAACAAGACTTGAGACAGATGGGAGCAAATGAGCAAAGCTGAATGAGCATGTCTCTGCAGTGTGAGTACAATGAGGTTTTATTCGCCTTATCTCCCCAGTGCAGTGAATTCTTTCTGGATAAGAGGACTGATCTTATGGAGGGAAAGACAGATCACATCCTGATGACATTGCCTGACCATTTTCACCTTCACAATCAGGCCTCTTCCTCAAAACATGGACGTTAGCAAGTAAAAAGAAAATAAGGCCCTGAAGGAATCTACAATGGAAAATTAGTAGTAATTTGATAGTCTTGTGGAAGAACATGACTCCCAGGCCCAGAAAGGCCAACTACATCTTTACTGCAGCATAAAGATCAAAGCTGGCTACTATGAAACTGCTTTATGATGATTCCCCCGTGTGACTAAGGTCTGGACATTTATATGGAAGAAAACACTGAACGGGCAATATTACTTTGTGCATCTTTGTCTGGGACTTTGAAAAAACTAAACTGATCTATGTTGTGAGGACTGATAATTAGTGTGTGTGCTTAGAGCCAGTCCTTTCCGCGGCTTGCTTTGGATGTGGCTGGGCCACTGGTATTCCTCCTGGGTCTTTGCTTTCCCCACAAATTAAACATACTACAGGAGTGGCACAAAGGGGTAACTTGGGGGTCTTTAGCCCCTCCATTTCCCTATAATATCCGTCAAGTCCCCTTTATTATTTGATACGGATATCTTTCAGTTTTATATAGGATGCTTTGTAAACTCAGCCTCAAGACCTCATTTCCACCACATTGCCCCCACCAGGCCCCTCTCCATAGCCCTTGCCTCTGGAAGTGGCTGGAGTGAGGGGACATAAACTGGTTCATTTATGTAGATATTGGCCTGCTTCTCCCTGCCTTGCTAGATGGAGCTCATCTACCACTGGTTCTTAGGGATGGACAAGTGACCCAGCCCAAGGCTGTTTGAATTTAGGTTTCCTATCACTAGAAAAGTCCTGATTAATACGCCCAGCCCTGGCCAATGGGCTGGGCAGAGATTGCCATGTATCTCAAATTAGTCCAGTGAGACTAGGAATTTTTTGGATCTGCTAGGTAGAGAAGCTGCCAGAAGCTGGACCTGAAGTTGCCAAAAGCCAGCACATGTAGGGGGTCTAGTGAAAGTGAAGCTAAAGCAAAGAAGAGGAGAGCCAAGCACAAAGGGAAAGACAGACCAAGTGCAGATAGCATTGTCTGAGTTCCTGATTCCAACCATGCCTGACAATCTCCCTACCTCTGGAGTTTTTAGTTATAGGAATCAGTAAATTATATCTTACCTAAGGCAGTTTGAATTTAGGTTTCCTATTACTTGCAAGTAGACAAGTCCTGATTAACACACTGGATTTTGCATCTCTAACTTATTTAGACGATTACATTTTAAAACTTAATGGACATTGATGAATCTCAAACTCTTTGCAAACAGGAAGAAGTGAAACGGCAAGGCAAAATAATTAATTCCCCAGATGTGCTTCTCCAATACTAAAGGAGGAAGTGATAGTTCTAAGTAATCAGCTAGTCTTTATTAGTATTTATTGAAACTCGATTATGTGCCTGTGAGGTACACAGAGTTTAAGACATGATTCCTCACCTTTCCCCGCCTCCCACCTAGTTAGGAAGAATGACTTGAACACTAATGAACAGCAAAACCAAGAGTAACTAAGAGCTAGTATGTGACACAGACAATAAGCACAGTAGTTTAGACAGGGTTGCTGCACATAGAAAAATCATGTATGAATTGCTGCACCCTCTACTCAAACAGTGTAGACCAAACACTGCAAACTAAGAGCTCGCAGGCTGATTTTGGCTTTGCTGGCTCAGTCTTAATTTTTTTTTTTAAACATCAAAGATTTTACACAAAAATCTAAATTTCTAACTTCTCTTGAAAACAATCAGTCAAGCAATAAGGTCACCGTCAAGCTAGGATGATAAGTTATGCTGAAGTTGCAAACATCCTCAAAACTCAGTGGCTTAACATGAGAAAGGTTTATTTCTCACCCACACAAGATAACTGTGGAGCAAGGTGATTTCTCAGGAAGGCTGTCCTACAGGGGATGGCTCAGTATTGCACCGCCATATCAAGAAGTGTATCCATGGTCACAATGGCAGGGGAAAAGAGAAGTAGGGATGGCAAGGCACCAGCAATTAAATGTTTCCTCCTGGAGTGATATGACACTTTAGCTTACATTCATTGGCCAAAGCAAGTCATATGGCCATTCTTAATTTCAAAGAGCAAAAGAAGTTCAGTCTTCTGGTATACCACAGAGGAGAAGGGAACCACGTATTGGTGAACAGTATCTGCCATAGCATACACTACCTAATGGCAACAATAGGCTGCAGCCAACTAGAAGCTGCTCCCTTGAGTTGGGACTTAAGCCCTAATTTGACACAGTCTCCACCCAGCCAGGTCATTTACATGGCCTGCCTAGCTCCTGGGGACATTTGATTTTGCAGCTCCTGGTATAGACAAAGGCAATATCAGTCTTTCAGTGATCCATGGAGTTATCACAATTCTTTAAAAAAACAGTTGTTTCATTTGCTAATTTCAAAAAATGCCATAGAGAATTCTTAAGTGAAGGGCAGGATGGTATCATAAAATCAAACAAGAAACTGAGACTAGCTGTTATATGTTCTGCAAATTATAGAGACCTGTTTATGACGGCTTCTTCCTCCTGCTCGCCCCTTGTTTAATCATACACCTACCATGAGAGACCAGGAGAAATGAGCGTCTTGAAAAAAAGAATCTGTCAAGCAACATGGGAGAAGTTGCATGGTAGTGATTTGGGGGAGGGAGGTCTGGCTTAAAAGGTTTTTTTTGTTTTTATTTTAAGTATATGTATGTTTAAGTCTGAAATATTTGAGAAGAAAATTTGTGAGTTGGGAATGGGAAGGCTTCTCTTCCAATAACCACCAATGAGAATTTTATAAAACAACATGCAACATGTCTAAAGGTTTAATAATAAATCAGCCCCCATAGAAATGCAGCCATCTTTGGGGAAAGTCCACCATCTTCTCTTTAATCTCCTAACACAGTAAGTCTTTGGAAGGTGAAGAGATAGTAAATTCTCTAGTCAAAATGCTGGGCCAGGTAGAGTTAAGGAGAGGAGGGATGTGGTCTATGTATGTTGTTCTCTTCAGCA